CCCAGCGACTTAACACTGCTTTTGTGCTGCAGGGACACATTTCACCCTTTTGTTTGTTTACATGGCAAGTTCCGTATGTTTCCGATGGAGAAAAAATTCTAAAAACCCCCAAAGCAGAGGGATAAATATGACTGCAGTATGAAGACGCGAATCAGTCAAGAGTTTCACACTTCAGGGTTTTACTCGGACACTAGAGAAGCTGCTTCACCTCCAGCCTGAGTGCTGTTCGATCCCGTGCACTACTACCGTGTTTTTACCGCGGTATTTTCAGTCTCAACACTGTCGTGTGTGTTTGTCTGCAGGTGCAAGACGTCTTCGATGAATCTCCGTTCTACGTGCCTGCTGATAGCGTCAGTATCATGAACGGCACAAATGAAGGTCTGTCCGCAAAGAGAACATTTGAACATGTTTTTACTCCACAGCATCAGTCGAGAGTTTGTGTGTGAGTGTGAGTGTTTGAAATAACTTTTGTGATCCACAGGGTGTCCTTAAAAAGTCTTAAATTCACTTTTTAAAAAAATAAAATGGTCACATTACCGCTAAAATATCTTCAGTCTGACGAACCTAATGACTGTTTACTATCATCGGACACAATGATCTGATTGCAATTATTGTAATGTGAGAATTATTTGTTTTTAAATGGTAAAATGTTTGTGCATCACGGTAGTATTTGCAAATTTATGCTGAATTAAATATCAAAATATATTGGACTAATTATAATTAGATGAGTCCTCTATTAAACGTCATGCATTGAGGTTAAGTGACTGTAATATATGTCTCTTCACAGGGATTCTGGCCTGGGTCACAGTCAACTTCCTGACAGGTGAGACTTTCTACTGTGAGCTTAATAAATAATGCTGGGTTTGAGCTTATAAACATGATGGCAGTGAGTTTAAACCCATCATGTTCTTTAGAATAACATTATAAGACATTAATAACTCATATTCTGAAAGCACGTAGTGTTGATTTCTATCAGACGTCAGACACCTCAGATGCTCTTGTTTTTGTCCTTCAGAAGGTTAGTAATTGTAGGTCTTCTCAGACGAGATCTTGACTGCTGTTTTCAGGTCGACTGCACAGAAACACACAGAAGACGGTGGGAATCCTGGATCTGGGCGGAGGATCCACACAAATCACCTTTCTGCCCAAATCAAGGGTCAGTGAGCTCTGGTTCTGAG